AATAATAGGCAGGGAAATTAAAACAGTAATAAAAAAAACCTAGCAACTAAGAAAAAGTTTAGGACTTCATAGATTCATTGATAAATTCTATAAGAGTTTCAGGGAATATCTAATGTCAATACCCCTCAAACTCTTTAATGAAGTCAAAAGGGAAAGAATACTCCCAAAGTCATTCTTGGAAGCTGGCATTACCCTGATTCCAAAACCAGACTTATAGGCAAATATCTGTAATAAGCATACAGCAAATGCAAGGTTCCTCAGCAAGTTAGTGGTAAACCAATTCAACAAATCATGGGAAAGATCGTACACCATGACCAAGCATGCTTCATGCAAGGGTTACAAGGATTGTTTAACATATGCAAATCAATAACTGTAACCCATCACATAAACAGAAGCAAGGACAAAAAAACCTCCACATGATTATCTTAATAGATGCAGGAAAAGCCTTTGAAATAATCCAATATGCATTCGTGATTAAAAATTCTGAGGAGAATAAGTATAGAATAACCTTGTATCAATTTGGTGAATGCTATTCATGACAAACCAATGACTAATACCAGATTAAATGGGGAGAATCTGAAAGCTTTACCTCTAAAATAAGAAATAAGACAAGGATATTCCATATCACTACTGTTGTTTAATATAATTCTTGAAACATTAGTCATAGCAGACAGGCAAAAGAAAGAACTAAAAGGATATGTATAGCAAGGGAAGAAGTTAAATTATCTTCATTTGTAGATGTCATGATCCTCTACATAGAAGGCACAAAAGTTTCATCAAAGATTCCTAGAACTACTAAACAAACTGAACCATTTAACAGGATACAAACTCACATAAAAATCAGTGACATTCCTGTACAACAATAATTAACTCATTGAGAAAAAATTAGGAAAATAATGCCATTAATAATTGCATTGAACAATTAAGTATTTACGAATTAACCTAAATAATGAAGTTAAACACCTCTACAATGAAAATTACATCACTATGAAAAAGGTCAAAGAGGACATTAAAAGTGGAAAGATATTCCATATTCCTGAAAATAACGAATATGGTCAAAATGGTTAACTCCCAAAATGGACATATAATGTAATCCCAATTAAAACACCAAGAGGATTGCTCACAGATCCAGAGAAAACAATTCTAAAATTTGTACAGAACCAACACCATCACTGGTCATTCGAGAAATGTAAATTAAAACAGCACTGAGATTGCATCTCACTCCGGAAAGAATAGCTGCCATCAAGAAAACAACTGATAATAAATGTTGGCGAGGCTGTCGGGGAAAAGGAACCCTTCTCCACTGTTGGTGGGAGTGTAGACTGGTACAACCACAATGGAAATCAATATGGAGATTCCTCAACAAACTAGGATTAGAGGTTCCATTCAACCCAGCTATTCTCCTCCTGGGTATTTTTTCAAAAAATTTGAAAAGATCATGCAACAGTGATATATGTGCACCCATGTTCATAGCAGCACAATTTGTAATAGCTAAATCTTGGAAACAACCAAAATGCCCGTCAACTGCAGAGTGGATGAAAAAGATGTGGTACTATTATACAATGAAATATTACTCATTATAAAAAGGACAAGCTTAAGGCCTTGATAAATAACTGGAGGCAACTTCAGGCTATCTTCATAAGTGAAATAAGTCTCACCTTGTTAAATATCACATTGTCTCTCTACTGTAAAAAATTATAAAAACTGGAAGAGTAATAAAATCCAAAATATATAACAGACATTGTAAAAATTAAAGTGAAGGAAATGCTCTAATGGATGTAACTATATGGCCATTCAAGCGTGTAAGATAGATGATCATATTACTAAGTTTCCGTTAGATCATTGAACAGAATGGTTTGCATTGTCAGTGTTTGAGTGTCCACTTTTGATGCTGTGATTTTGTAACTTGAACAACTATTTCTATGAGGACAACATGTAACTTACCAACTAGTAATTTCTTAATGTTAATATTTTTTGTTTGAAATTCTGTATTAATTTTATCCTTTTCCCTGTTTTGTAATGTTTTTCTTTAAATAAAAAAAATTTGTATGGAACCAGAGGAGATCCAGAATAGCAAAAGCAATCCTAGGTAACCAAAGCAAAGCAGGAGGCACTATTATCTTAGAAGTTATATCAAAACTACAGTGATTGTAACAGCATAAAAAAGATACATGGATCAAAAGAACACAATATAGCAAAAAGAAATAATTCCATGCATGCTCAACTATTTGATCCTTGACAATGGGGCCAAAAGCATATATTGGAGGAAAGATAATCACTTTGTTAAATGATCCTGGAAAAACTAGGTATCTACATGTAGAAGATTGAGTTTAGATCCATATATCTCACCATGTACTAAACTAAAATCAAAATAGATTAAAGAGCTAAATGTTAAAATGAACAATCTGGTAGAATATAAAATAGGTAAAACTTTTAATCACACAGGTGTGAGCAAGGACTTTCTCAACAGAATCCAATGGCATAAGAAATAATACCGAGTCAACAAATAGGAATATTACCAAATTCAAAAGTTTCTGTACAGCAAAGGAAACAATCAATAGAGTGAACAAACTTAACCTACAAAATGTGAAAAAATTTGCCAGACATTCCTTGCACAGTGTACTAACATCTAGAATGCATAAAGAACTCAAAAACATTATATCTCCCCCAAATAAAAGAACCAATCAAAAAATGGTTGACTGAAATGAATACACTCTTCTCAGAAGAACAAATGGCCAACAGACATATGAAAAAATGTTCAACAATGCAAATTAAAATAACATAGGGATTCCATCTTAATCCAGAAAGAAAAGCTATCATAAAGACAGCAAATAAAAACAAATGTTGGCAAGGCTGCAGGAAAAAAGGAACCCTTCTACACTGTTGAGGGGAATAAAAACTAGTATAACCACTATGGGAGACAGTATGAAGATTCTTCAAAAAACTAAAAGTAGGAATTACATTTGACCCAGCTACACCCCTTCTAGGAGTCATCCCAAAAGAGTTAAAGCCGTCATGTTACAGTGATATATGCATACTCATACCTGTAGCAGCACAATTTACAACAGCTAAATCTTGGAAATGGTCCTTATACTCACCAACAGACAAATGGATAAAGAAAATGTGATATTTATACACAATGGTTTATTACTCTACCATAACGAACAATAAATTTGAATCATTAATAGGTAAATGGATGTACCTTGAGACCATAATATTAAGTGAAATAAATTTTCACATAGTTTGATTAATAGTAGAACCCAAAAACATAAATAAACAGCCAAATTGAAAGTAGATAAAAAGAATCAGGGAGATAATTTTCAGAGGGGAAGGGAAACTAGAGATAGAGAGGGAAGGAAAGGAGGAAAAGGAGATGGAAAAAGAAAGAAATGTAAATAGAGCTTTTGAAAATGAGAAAGGACCGTGAGTTGCAGGTAGCAGGGAGGGATGGGAAGGGGAGGGGATGAGAAAAGAGTGAAGCTGTGCTATACGCATGTACCAGCTCCTCATGATAAATGCAATCATTATGTACTGCTAATATGTACTAATAAAAATTACAAAATTAATCAAGCGATATTGGTACAGTTAAACTCCTCTATTCCTATATAGTCATTTACATGAGCAAGATTTCTTGGCGCTTATCTTGACTGTAGTGAAAAATAGGAATAGTTGCTGAATTGCTATAGAACCTTGCCTCTTTCTACCATGAAATCATATTAATTCATAAGTGTGTGAACTGAGTTTTGAAAAATAAATCACCCCGTCTGCATTACTAAGAACTGAATTTTCTTTTTTGGCAGTATTTGCTTCTTCATGGTTAATGATTATTTATCAGAATTATTTATTAGAATATGTTATAACATATTCATTAAATATGTAAAATGCTGTGTTGGGCAAATGTTTGAAAGTGATAAATTAATAATTCCATCCAGAAGAATATTTTTAGCACTAAGAGGTGAAACTTAAAATTCTGATTGATATAATTATGTGAAGTGATGAATATATTAGTTAATTGTGATGATTTTATCACATTGTATATGTATACTGATGTATTATTTTGTATGCTTAAAAATAATCTTTGTCACTCATATCTCAACAAACTGGAAAAAATCTGATTATATATACACTGAGGCATATATATATATATATATATATATATATATATATAAAGCAATTAGAAATTCAAATTCTACAGAAAATATGAAGTTTATTAATGTTAAATAATTGTTTATATACTTTTAAAGTAAATCAAAATCTGTTTGTCATTTAGACTCTAGATGTCTAGACTTCAGAACATGACAGAGACAATGTTAACAATACAGTCTAAATTTAAAACTGGGTTACATCTGTTGTCATTACATTGCAGATAACACAAAATCTGAGCAAATACTCTTCTAATACTTGAAAACTTTTCTTGTTCAGTAAAGCATGCCACTGAAAAACAAATGCTGTTTCATCTTACATCCTCCTTTTTAACTTTCATCTTGTCTGTTAGTGCAAATTATTAACTAATATCAATGTCAGAATCATACTTACTAGTTAGACTTGGCCATCTAGTTGGTCCAATTGAGTCATGGGAAAGAATTTATTTACAGTCTAGTTTTGTCAAATCATGGTAGAATTTCAAGTCTTCATTGTGAAAATAAATTAACAAAAGCATTCATTGACAATCAGTTGGCTTTATCAAATTTGCAATAAAGAACACATATTTTATTATTAGTTATAAATGATGCACTGTATATCCTTTAGATAAGTAAACTTTATAACGATAAATTAAAATTTATTTCTCCTTTCAAATAGCTGGTTGTTAAACATTTATCAGCACACTACTGTAACCAATCAAGGTGGGCCTAAAGGTAACAGGGAAGTGAAACGAGAAAAAGAAGAGAGAAGCCAGGGATACCTCATCATATCATTAAGAGCAGAAATAGAGACTATACGCTCCTCTCAGGATTTTTCCTTGGCAACACCACATCCATATTTTAAATGATTTTACTTACTTTCCTCTTCCTGTACTCCACTGTTGTTTACAGAGTGTGCTGCTGGTTGAGAAAGGGTTGTGACAGAAATAGTATCCTTTGCAACATGATATCATACTCATAAGTGAAATAAACCAGACTCGCATGTGTAAATACCATATTGTCTCCCTAGTATAAGAAACTGAAAGAGTAAATAAGATCCAAAAAACACAATAGATATTGTGAAAGGGGAAGTAACTGCTCAAAAGGAAAGAACATGGGATGGGGGAAAGAAGAAATGAAGGAAGGGAAAAGGAAAAAATATATGTTTAAATATATATATACATGTATATTATAGCTAAGATATTAATGCTACTAATTTCTATTAGTTCATTGAAAACAACAGTTCGCACTTACATTATTTAGCCACTTTTCAAGCCTCTAACTTGTACTCTGTGTAACTACTTTGAAGATAACAATATACAATATATTAACCATTGTTAATTTCCTGTCATCTAGTTTTAAAATTCTGTATCATGGTTTTTATTATTTTTTCTCTTTAAAACAAACAAAGAATCTAGAAGAAACAATTGATAAAATACTGTACTATGGTTTATATTTAAATCCCCCTGCCCCGGCAAGCCTCATGTGCTCAAAGGTGTAGTTTGAGGCAGGTCATTGGATTATGGGGGCTTGTAGCTGACTTGCTGTTAGGAGGTGGGGTCTTGTCAGAAGAGGTGGATCCCTGGAAGTATGCTGGAAGGGTTTTTCTCCCTCCCTGACTCCTTGCTTCTTTCTCTGTTTCTTGTCCACCATGCCCTGAACAGCTCTTGTCTACCATGCCACACTGCCATGCCATTCTGCTTTGGAGCCAGTTGACTATGGACTAAAACCTGGGCCAAAATAAACTCCTTCTTTGAGCTGTAGGTGTTGGTTATTTCATCCCAGAAACAAGGAAAGTAACTAAGATAAACTGGATTGTTCCTTTGGGGGGGGGTACCATAGATTGCATTTGAAGTGGTTGTATTTGTACATATGCATTTAGAAGTATAGATGAGTTTTTGTGGATGTCAACCAGACAGCCAAAATAGTAGAGAGTTCTGTAAACCTTGCATCCTTTTCTATATCTGGGGAATGGTCCACAGTGTAATTCATACTGGGAAAATTAATTTTGCCTCCATATAGGGAAGCTAGACTGTGTGCTTTTCCCTACCCTTGAGGGATGTTGATGATGATGGTGGTGATGGTGGTGGTGATGGTGGTGGTGATGATGATGATGATGATGTGTATTATCTAAGCTGAGGAAAATCATACCCTTCTACTTGGATTTTTTTTTTTTTAAATTCTGGAGACAGCAATAGGCAACAGATTAGGATTCTTCTTAGCTTTGCTATGTTAGCCAGCATCCAGAGATGGCTTCCTTAATAGACTTTTCCTATGATGGAATTTTAGCAGTGGATCTAACTGCATAGCTTCCTTTGCAATCTACCATTTTTGGAGTCAATTTTCAAACCTTCCTGTTAATTCTGTGGGCTATTCAATAAATTGCAATACATTGATTTTCTGCTAAAGGTAAGTGGAGTTGCTTTCTGTTGTTGAAGTTAATAAAACATGCCTAGAAGGTAGCCTTTTAAAAACTCATGCTCTGATTTCAGAATGGAGGCGTTTCCTAATTGGACCCCTGGCTAGAGCTAGAAATTTCATGCTGGGAAATTGAGAAAACCATAAAACCTGGGTATGTGTCCAGATGCTTAGCCTAACAACCATGTGCAAGGAGAAATGAAATTGTTCAAAAGTCCCTATTGTTCTTCTAGGTCTACTCCAGGAGAAATTCATCTTAAAGAAAGTTAAATCACTTTTCCAAAATCAGATATTCATTTCAATCATTTTCTTTCAACATTCATCATTCTGTGCCACATTTTTTACAGCATGGTTGGCCAGATATAATAATCTGTGACACTCATCAACATTCTTCTTTATTGTGTTTGAAGACTTTGCAGAAAGCAACATTATCTAAGTTGCTGCCAACATAACGCCTCTTTGCAAGTCAACAATCAGGCTAAATGTTTCAGGAGTAAATTAATCACTTAAACTTGCCAGGTCTCAAATTTCTCAACTTACAGTTTGTGTTCACCAAAGCTAAGGTCACTACAATTGTTTATCAGTGCAGCAAACTTCAAAACTGCCTTGGCAATTACATTAATTTAAACAATACTTTTCTATTTTTGTCTAAAAATTACCATGAATCTAGAAGTTTAAAGTAAGTTTATCATCTCACAGTGACGGCGGTGAGACGTCAGGGTGGGAGCTCCTCTTTCTTCGAGGCCTCACAAGGCTGAAATTGAGGTGCTGGCTAACCTGAACTCTTCTTTGTAGACTGGGGAAGAATCATCTTCTAAATTAATTCAGGTTATTGGTAGAACTTAGTTACTTGTAGGTGTAGGATTATGATCCCCAGTGTATATGTGTGTGCATGCATGCGTGCGTGCATTTGCATGAGTGTGCATTTGCTGGTAGTCATTCAGAAACCTCTCTCAGTTCCTTGATTGCCTGCGTCCTTCATCACATTGCCTTAAGTGATGGCATATCAAGTAATTCCCATGCCCAAGTCTCTCTGACATCTCGTTTGCCACTTTCGTCTCTGGCCAGAGAGGGTTGAGGACTCTGAGGACTGCTGTTGTTGGATTGTACTAACCTGGATAATTCAAGAGAAGCTTCCTATGTTAAGGCTCATAATCTTCAGTACACCTGAAAGATCCTTTTGTCATGTAACATATACAAAGATTGCAAAGATTAGAGCACGACCTTCTTTTGGGGAACATTTTGCCTACACAGCCATCGTCTGTCAGAATCAGCCAAGGACTCAAAGAAAAGATTTCCTATAATTTCTATTAAGCTTTGGTTGGTTGGGTTTCTCAGGCATTTATCTAGAACACACTGTTCATTCTCATTCACAGATCCTAAGAAAATTGCAGGTTTCATGGACTAAATGTTTGTGTCTATTGCAGGTTCACATGTGAAATTCCTACACCCACTGCACAGATATGTGGAAATAGGGCCTTTGAGAGGTAGCTAGAGTGATATTAAGTCTTGAGGGTAAGGCCATCATCGTTGGAGTAGTATTTTAAGACAGCAAAGAGATCCAAGAGTTTCCTTTCTCTGTCATGTAAAATTAAACCAAAATATGGGCATCTATCAGCCAGAAAACAGGCCCTTATCAGGAACAATATTAGCCAACATGTTGATCTCAGACTTCCTAGCATCTGGAATAAATGTCTCTTATTTAAGACACCCAGACTATGGTATTTTGTTATAGTAGCCAAGCTAACACATGAACGACATTTTGTCTGATGCATTGTGGAACTAGAATATATGAACTTTTTGTACTTTGCTAAAATACAGAATGTCTTCAATGAAGTTAATGAAAACTGAGTGAAATATCTCTGCTTTCTGAGCATTAGCCCCTGCCTGTCTCCCAGATGACTTGGAGTACAGTATGCAACAGCAATGGTAGCTGCAGCTACTATCTCTATCCCCATGTTTGTCTTTGGCTGCCTTTTTCTACAGTATCTCTAGAAGTGCTTTGCATTGCTGTGCCTCTTCCCATTCATTCTGAAGATTTAGACTCACAAATGGCCTTCCTTCTCTCAGCAGAGCCAGTGGGTGGAAAGGAAAGGCCCTAAGACAGAACTTTAACATCATTGCACTTTGGAATCATCTAGGCACTTTCAAAAAGTACCCACGTCCTTCCATATCCCTAGAACTTCTGGTTCAGAAAGAACTGATTATCACTACTTTGTAAAAAAACTTCAGCTGCTTTTAATGTGCACCCAGACTTTTGAAGCACTGCTGCAAGACACAAGGGCTGCAAGTTATCTGTAAGTGGTTCTGTTTAGTAGATGAATAAATTCCAGCTGTCAGGAACTATGACATTAGCAGCTTAGCAAGAACACTAAAGAAGTAATAATCATCTGAACCTGACATTTAGACATGGGACACAAATGATCTCTTTTGTTACTTTGTATGCAACTCCTCTGATGATAACAGTGCTTAGGGAGTGTAGACATGATCGAGGTAAGGAAATAGGTAGCACATTTCATTCGGCATGCAGATGGCATCTTCACGCTGCTGGCCAGCAACTGGCTAACCAATTAATTAAGACAGGCTGACTGAATGAAAGACTTATCAATTGTTGTACTGACACTGTCCCCTATGCAGGGCTGTTTAGTTAGATTTCGTAAAGACTCATAAGGCCACCAAGAGAAGCAATACTTTCATTAGTTAAGCAGCAAGTAATTCTCAAAAAGGATAAAAATAATGGTGGTTTTCTGAGCACTAATTGCCAGAAGTACTTACTACACTTGGAGGCTTAAAATAACACAATGTATTCCCTTACAGTTTTGTAGGTCAGGAGTTTGGCTTGGGCTTCTCTAGGCTAAAATCAAGGTGCTGCAGGATTGGGTTCCTTCTTGGAAGCTCTTTGGCAGAATCTCCTAAGTTTACTGATATTTTATGTGGAATTCAGTTCCTGTTAGAGGTAGTGAGACAGGGAGCAGCGGTTGATGATCCCTAAAAGATACTTTTCTTTCATGACTGCCCCAAGCAGCTGGTTCGGGTGGCCCATGGATCCTCCAGGAGATGTTTGTTTCAGTCACAGACAAATCTCAGAGGATCCTGCCACCCAGTCCCTATAGCACTCTTCAGACTTCCTCGGTCAATTCTGGAAGGGGCCTCTACATTCCCTATGACCACCTGTCTTGTTACCAATTCAGACTGGGAAGGTTCTTTGGTCAGCCTGAAGAAGAGATGAACCACGGACTAGATTAGACATCTTTATTCTTAGGTGCCTCTCAGCTGTGTGCACTTGCATGGCAGTCCTCAGGTCCCTAGCCTGTCCACTCTTGCAGCAATGCTTGGCTGCTTGGTTTCCCACCAGCCCTCATGGCAGTCTACATTTATACCAAAACAATAGTGGCTATGTGCCAGTAACAATTTTGGTTAATTCATTTATGTACACTGAGACTGATGTGGTATGCCTGCACTGAAATATTCGTGACTTGGTGGTCCACCAGAAATCACCTCCATCTCGAAGCCTGAA